CCCTACTTTTTCCTATGCCACATATTCTGATGTACATATTTTTACTTTATCTTGTTCAATCTCAGGTTTTATTTTTTATTAAGTTTGCTTTAGGGCACATGTGCCAAAGAGAGAGGAGAGAGAGAAATGTAAGCAATCACCCCCCCAACCCCCAGAGGGGACAGTCATGCTGTAATGCCTTCTCCTTTCAGGATTTTGGGCACACACACTTGTGCCAAGCTGCCAGATCTAGGACTTGAACTAAACAATAGGCAACATGGGATTCAGCTGCCTTAATTCCTGTGCCACTGCTGACCCCATCACAGATATTTTTTAAGGAATCTTAAAATCTTCATATAACATGCATATGAGGGGACTGCAAAAAGTTCATGAAAAAAATGGAATTAAAGCATAAGTTTATTTTAGTGCAAAAACCCTGAAATTCATGCATTTTTTTATAAGCATTTCCATGCACTTTTTGAAGATTCCCCATATATGTAAGTACACATGTGCTAATCTGATTTAAAATGCAGAAGATGATTCTAGCTCTGGACTATCCTTTATTTCTTTTAGTGTGAAAGCTGGATTTCATTTCCTACTTGCTATAGTAACACCAAATTCTCCACATAGAATCCATCTTCTCTGTGAGGAAATGCAAAGGCACTGAGAAGTGGCACAAGGTAGAAACAGTACCTCACAATGGTACTACGACACTGCTTCCTGTCCAACCTGTGATCAGGTATTGTACACACCTATCCACCCTTCCTGTCACTGGTGTGCACTCATGTACACACTGCCCAAGTTAGAAGTGGTTTCACCTACAATATACCTAGTAAATTTACAAAAAGATAAAAGGAAAACATTACAGTCAGTCCTCATTTTAACAGCCTACCTGCTTAACAACCACTGGGACTTACTCCAGTAGGGAATTCTCCTTCTGAAGTTTTTGTCTCATTCTGCAGTAAGTTCACTACACAAAGCATGCAGTCACACAAGACTACATATTTCATTTATAAATTTGTACTATAATGTGCACCCATAGTATTCTAAAAATGATTATGCTAGATTTATATTGTTATGTTTTGGTGTGTCTTGACATTTTCTGGCGCCTAACTAACGTATGCCTTCTGTACAGCTAGAATTACATTATCTTAGTATGGTGTCATCTATTAAAAATTCATACCCTCTGGTGCCATGACACACAGGCTTTAAGCTCCTTGCTTATAACCAACTTGCTAAGTGACCTAGTCATAAGGGAATGCGAACATTAAGTGAGAAGTGCCTGTAGAGGACAACTTGCACTCATGCATCAGACACCTAAGATTCAGACAGCAGGCACCCCAAGTCCTAGGCTGGGCCCTTAGTCAGTTCACATGCAAAGTGCAGCCCACACTGAAGGAGTTCTTTCATGTGTCTCTGCTGGAAAGGGAACCTAGCACAGGGCACTCTCCCCAGAGAAAGACGGCAAGGCCAAACTCCAAGCCCAACCATCCTGTCATGAGTGTTTACTCTAGTGAACCTGCACATGGAGAGAGTAGGATTTGGTGGGATTTGATTGAGTGAAAAGAGTTCTGAAGAAAAGCAATTATACTATCTCACACTTAGGACTTTTGGTCAAGGCGAAGAATCAAACTTTTTTCTCTTTGGAGCTAGCAGGTAGCATGGAGGTTAAGGCACTGGATCCCACATGGTCAACTACACAGTTCAAGTCTCAGACCCAACAGTTTGAAAATTACACTGGGTCTGTGTGCATGCATGACAAAAATAACAAGAGGAGAATGAAGGTGGGATTGCTGTGTGGCCATATCCCCTAGGGTGTGATTTCTCACTTTCTTTCTCTGAAAAGTGAGAAATACACACCCTATAGGTAAAAAAGCATTAATAAACTTTTTTTCTCACCTTTTTTGGTTACCTCTTCAATTTTATGGATACAACTGCTCAATTCTCTCTGGAGTCGCTGAACTTCTAGCAGACTCTTCTGTTCACACACACTTTTGTGGTCACCTATCCTGGGAGGTGGCTGAAGTCCTGGATCACGGGTGGGTGGTGAACTCGGCACACCAACATCTGACTGCCCTGGGTAAGATGTGTATAGGTATACCTTGGCACCAGAGCTGGAAACTTCGACCTTGGATGGCTGGTGGCTGTGCTGACATGCTTCTCGACTCTTTGATTCCTTTCTTTCCACCCTGTGATCAGGTATTCTATACGTGGTATGTCCACACTGCTGAGAGCTTTGAGGCCAGCTTCCAAGATGATGTTCTTTTATGTGTTCTTCAAACTGTCTTCGTTTCACATCTCTTTTGGCTAAGTGGACAGCGTAGCTAAGTCTTTCTTCTGATATGACGGAAAATGAAACAGAATTGCTTAGGTCTGGACCAACTCTAAAATCTGAATCTTTACAAAGGTATGATTCATTGTACGAGTGCTTCAGTTTTTCGATCCTAATTGCATGTGGGCAAGAATATCGGATTGCCAAATTGCTTGAATGTGCAGGAACATTCCTGTTAAACTGCAGCTGGTTCTTTAAAAAGTAAATAAGAGTACAAATTAGGAAAATAACATATTACGTAGTTTGCATATGTTTATAATCAAGTTTCTAAAATTTTCCCCACAGATTATTAGTGCCACGAGATGTTTTTCTGTTGTACTGATAGAATCGGCCACATACCCTTGTCTACCTTGTACCTCTGGTTCTATCCTACAACCACCCAGTGCCACAATGCAGCCAAGGGCCCTTCTGCACCCCTGGATAAAGAGGATCATTTTATATAAGGGATCTGAACATCCTCAGATTCTGGAATCGATGAGGGAAGTGGGGATGGAAGTCTTAGAATCAATGCCCTGAAGATACCAAGGGGCTGTTTACTAATATGCATTGTCCTCCAAAAGTCAACTCAGAAAGCTTCAAGCAGCAATCAGTAAGTTCTCTAACTCCCTCATTATAGACTTCTGTCCTGTTTGAAAATGTCAGGCCCCAGTAACTGAACCAAGAATCCATTAGGGCTTTCCCACACAGTCAGCCAGATGTATATCATTTGAGAGTACTTCCTCAGCTCTTCCTTGGTTTTCATCTGATGGCTGGACACCTTTCATCAAGCACCTAAATGCATCTTGCTCTAAACAGTCCACTGATGTCTTCTTATGAAGGTTTAAGTTTTTGTCAGTTCCCATAATTATAAACACAAGTTTGGTTTTCCTGTGCATTTATTTTTCATTCTATTTTATTTTCTAGAGAGACTTTTGCTATAAGTGTGCATGCACTTGCTGGAGAGACAGAGACAGGGAGACACAAAGTGAGAAATCACCCACCCCATGGGTGATGGCTATGCCACAATCCCTTGTCCTCCTTTTCCTCTTGGGATTTTGGGCACACATGCACATGGCCTGAGTTTTAAATTGCTGGGTCTGGGATTCAAACCGTGGTCGACTACCTGGGAGTCCAGTGACATAAACACTATTCTATCTGCTGGTCCCTGTTTTCTTGTGCATTTAAACATAGACATGTTTTCATACTCAGGTTTTACCATTTTTCTCTTTATGCTTATCTATTTCTTCCATGTGAAAGAGACAGAAAACCACGAGTACTTCCAACAGGACCCCCCATGTCACAACCAACCCCCCAGTCTCAGTTGGCTCAGATCTTGGGCACATGGGCATACCAGGTGTGCCTAGGAAGATCCCAGATGTGAACCAGAACCTTTCCCACGTGGGTCCAGTTGGATTGCAATTGAGCCACCACCTGTTCCTTTATTAGTTTTCATGATTGCATTTTCCAAAATACAATGAATGGTCTTTTCATGCTTAACCTAACTATAATCTTATTATTTTCTTTTTTAAAGAATTGTTTTATTTAACTTTTTAAATTTATTTTAATTTGACTAGAGAGGGGCAGAGCTAGAGAGAGCAAAAGGGAAAGTAAGAAAGCAAGCTGCCAGGTCCAGGACTTAAACCACAGTCAGTCATGTGGGAGTCCAATGCCCTTAACCACCACTCCACCTGCCAGCCCCTATAAGCTTATTATTAAACACTTAGTTTATTCTAGTTTTTTCACTAATAGAAATATCACTCTAATTAATAACTGTGCATTTAGGTTTTCTTCTTAAGTTATTTCCATCAGATAAATGATCTTTCTGCAATCACTAGGTTAAAGGAAATCAAAATTTCATGTCTTTAAAATGTAAAAAAAAAATTATGCTTCCGGGATCAGCAGTTGGCGTAATGGCTATATCGCTGGACTCCCGTGTAGTTGACAGCAGCTCGAGTCCTGGACCCAGTGGCTTAAACTCATGCCAGGCACGTGTGCATGTGTGCCCAAGATCCAGAGAGGAGAATGAAGAAGGGATTGTGGCGTGGCCATCCCCCTGGGGGGTGATTTCTCACTTTCTGTCTGTCTCTCTCTGTCTTGTTTTATTTAACTTTTTAAATTTATTTTAATTTGACTAGAGAGGGGCAGAGCTAGAGAGAGCAAAAGGGAAAGTAAGAAAGCAAGCTGCCAGGTCCAGGACTTAAACCACAGTCAGTCATGTGGGAGTCCAATGCCCTTAACCACCACTCCACCTGCCAGCCCCTATAAGCTTATTATTAAACACTTAGTTTATTCTAGTTTTTTCACTAATAGAAATATCACTCTAATTAATAACTGTGCATTTAGGTTTTCTTCTTAAGTTATTTCCATCAGATAAATGATCTTTCTGCAATCACTAGGTTAAAGGAAATCAAAATTTCATGTCTTTAAAATGTAAAAAAAAAATTATGCTTCCGGGATCAGCAGTTGGCGTAATGGCTATATCGCTGGACTCCCGTGTAGTTGACAGCAGCTCGAGTCCTGGACCCAGTGGCTTAAACTCATGCCAGGCACGTGTGCATGTGTGCCCAAGATCCAGAGAGGAGAATGAAGAAGGGATTGTGGCGTGGCCATCCCCCTGGGGGGTGATTTCTCACTTTCTGTCTGTCTCTCTCTGTCTTTCTGGAAAGAGCACGTACCCTATAGCAAAAAAATCTCTTCAAAAAATGATGCTTCCTCCTTGCTCTTTCCAGAATGGACCTGTAATAGACAAATAAATAGCCTTAGGAGAATCCCTGCCTACCAATTCAACAAATCCAGTCTTGTAATGCTTTTATCTTAGAAATGTGTCTCCCATTATCTCACAATAAATGTGTTTATATAATCATGGGCATGATAAGTCAATTTAAGATAACACCTTATGAGAAAACTTCAGGAAAGTATTATGAGGAAAAAAGTAGTTAAAAACTTCAACAGAGGGACCAGCAGATGGCATTAATGGTTACATCGCTGGACTCCCACAAGTTGACCGCATTTCGAGTCCTAGACCCGATGGCTTGAAATTCAGGGGCATGTGTCTGGCATGCCGAAAACCCTGAGAAGAGACTGGAGAAGGGACTGCGGCGTGGTCATCCCAAGGGGTGATTTCTCGCTATCTCCCTGGCAAGCGCATGTGTGCGTGTGTGCCCAAGATCCCGAGAGGAGAATAGAGAAGGGACTGCAGTGTGACCATCCCCCCTGGGGGGTGATTTCTCACTTTCTGTCTCTATGTCTCTTTTTGTTTGTGTGGCGAGTGCACGCACCGTATAGTGAAAACCTCTCCAAAAAAAAAAACTTCAATAGTGAGAAAATGGTTATGTGACTGGTGCTTTACAGCCTTATTTGGAAAAAGTCTTTCTCCTAAAAGTAAAAATAACTTAAAAGAGTTTAAGAATTTGATATAAATACTAGAAAAAATATGAGTAAACGCCTCTTTAACTTGGGTATATGAAAGTTTTTTTTTTTTTTTATGAAAGGGATTTTGCAATAGGGTGTTTACATTCACCAGAAAGACAGAGAAATAGAGACAGAAATAGAGAAATCTCCCCCTCGGGGATGGCCACTTTGCAATCCCCTCTCCTCAATTCTCCCAGGATCTTGGGCATGCACACACACACACCCAGAGTGAGTGTGAAGCCACCATGTCTGGGACTCCAATTGCAATTGGCCATGTGGGAGTCCAACAAAGTAACCATTATACCATCTGCTGGTCCTGTTTTTCTTTTTTTTAAATAACTGTCAGGTTGCCTATGCTTGCTAGAAACAAATGGGGGGGAATGACCCCCCCATGGGGTGTGGTCACGCTATCATCACTTTTCCTTCATTTCTCCATCCTGCTGAGATTCTAGGCACACATGTACAAGCGTCCAGTGTGTTTTACTTTTTGTTTCTTATTTGCCAGAGAGTACGTGTGCTTGCTGGAGAGAGACAGAGAGCAAGCAAGAAAGCATGCCTAATGGTGAGTGGTCACACCGCAATCCCTTCTCTGTTTCTCCATCCTTCTGGGACTTTGGATGTATACCATATACTTGCCCAGTGTGTTTTTCAAGCTGCTGGGTCTGGATCTCAAACCATGCAACCAACTACATGGGATCCAGTTTACCACCAGGCCATGGGCTAGCCTGCTCAGTGTGGTTTTCAAATCATTAGGCCAGGACTCAAACTAACTCAAATAATCGGATCAGCCAAGGAAAGTCTTTCTAACTACTGTTCAAAATCTATACTTAATTTATTTAAAAAATAAATAAATTGTAAATGTGACTACATTAAAGTAAAAAAAAATTTTTTTAACTTCCCCCAGTCAAAAAAAAAAAAAAAAACAACAACACAGACAAACAGAAAACAACCATAAACAAAGTAAGAAAAATGAGAACTAGAAACATATTTGTAAATGCAAAGTATTATAGTATAAAGAGATCCTGGCTTAGCCATGGTGGTGCATGTTATAAGCTGCTGCTGTGTACCACCAGAGCCTTGTAGAAAGGTCCAGGAGTTGGATCCCAGGTCAATCTGAACACACTGGGCATATTTAAAAGTACTCATGATCCTGGTTAACAGGCTGAGAGAGGACTGAAATGTGCCAAGATCTTGTTGGGGAGGGTCACTGTATCTCTCTCTCTCACTAAACAAATAAACTTTTTTTTTAAGAGGTTTTTGCCTTAGGGCACATGTACTCTCTGGAGAGACACAATGAGAGGGAAAGTGAGCAATTACTCCAGGGAGGATGGCCATGCCTCAATCCCTTCTACTCTACTCACCTCCTGGGATCTTGGGCACACATGCATACATGCCTGGCATGATTTTGAAGCTACTGAGTCTGGAACTTGAACTGTGGAGCCATGTGGCAGTCCAGCAACATAACCTCCATGCCATCTGCTGGTCCCAGTAAATAAACTTTTTTAAAAAGTTATCTTAAAAATTGAGTTAAAAAATGAACAAAACTCAATGGAAAATGTGGGAGAATGTATGAATAGACAACTTACCAAAAAAAGATACAGGGCTGGAAATTGGATGGAAAGAATAGAACGAATGGGATAATAAACAACACTTTTCCAAATTTATCTTTTTGTCCAAGTATAATTGAAACCATGTTAATGTTGCCCACATACATGAGATACAGGAAGGAAGGAAAAAGAAATGAATGAAAGGCATAGAGGGAAGAAAATAAATAAAATCCAAAAGGAGAAAAAAAATCCTAAAAATGAATGCTAACAGAAACCAGTGAACCAAATTGAATTTCAAATGAATAATATAACCTTACTATAAATGTGGAAAAAAAAATTAACCTAAGTAACTTTTTAAAAAATTGTATTATTATTATTATTATTATTATTATTACTATTACTTGACCAGAGAGAGCTACACAGAGACAGAGAGAGAAGTGAGAAAGCAGGCTGCCATGTCCAGGACTTGAACCCTGGTTGGCCACGTGGGAATCCAGCATCTTTAACCACACCTCCTGCTGGCACCACAGGTAACTTCTGAACACAGCATCTGAACTATATACTCTCAGGTTACAGACAGAAGTACTCTGGATATCAAACTAATTTGTAGAGTTTTTTCTCTTTTTTTTTTCCTGCAGAGACAATAAACGCAATTTTGAAACAATTTTTTGAACTTGTAAGATTGAGCAAAGAAGTAAATATATTGTGGATGGCAGCGGCCGGGTTTCATGCTATTGGACAAGAGAGATACAAACACGGATTGTTGGATTGGAAGTAAAGATCTGTACAAACTCACAGGTTTTAATATAAACATACAGGCAGCTAGACTGACAGACACACAGAAAGGAGAGAAGGAGAAAAGGAATAAGGGAAAGAAGAGAGTTAGATGTGAATATATGTGTGCATGCACGCACACAAGTTTATACATCTGTTTTCCAGTTCTGTCCTCTAAGAGGGCTAGAAACAATGGCACTCCAGTATCAATGAGCATATAAAGTACCCAGATATTGATTTCAAAATTGTATTCTCTACTAAAATGATAAAAACTCCTCAGATAAATGGCTATTCCATGGGACCAGCAGATGGCGTAATGGCTACATTGCTGGACTCCTATGTAGCCAACCATGGTTCAAGTCCCGGACCCGGCAGCTTAAACTCATGCCAGGCACAAGTGGATGCATGCCCAAGATCCCAAGAGGAGAATGAAGGAGAAGGGACTGCGGCGTGGCCAACCCCTCCACCCCCGGGGGTGATTTCTCACTTTCTGTCTCTCTTTCTCTTTCTGGCGAGCGCATGCGCCCGATAGCAAAAACCTCTCCAAAACTAACTAACTAAGTAAATAAATAAATAATATCAGCACACAGACTGAACTGACAGCATGTACCTCCTAATGATTCCCTGAGAATTACCCAACACCACCTCAGTGTTTCCCTAGCCAAATGTGTATAAACTGGAATTATGAGAAGAGATTGGACAAATTCAAATTGAAAGCAAAATCTTTAAATAACTGGTCTATGATCAATGTCACAAAATACAAAAACGGATTTAGAAATTTTGTTCGTTTTTAAGAAATATGTAAGTACTTAGGGATAAAAGAACATCATTCTACAACTTACTCTTTAAACAGTCAAGAAAATAGCGTACACGAATAGAGAAAAGTGAGAAAAACAGAGAAAGAAGATCCTGTCTGCAGTATAATGTTAACATTTGGGGAATCTGGGAGAAGAGTATCCAGGGATTCTATGTACTATTCTTACAACTTTTCTGTCAGTATGAAATTGTGCCAAAAGTTTTTTTTTCTTCCCCTTTGTATATCACAATGAGGTTTATCTATTGACAGACACCCAAAAGAACAGCCAACATTTAAGAAATGCCAAGTGCTGGCAAAGACGTGGAGCAACTAAGGCTCACATTGTCAGAGGAATGTAAAATGGTACCGACTACTTTGTAAAGATAAAATTATTTGTTATAAAACTAAGTATATACCTACCCAGTAATTTTACTCTTAAATTAATTTACCCAAGAGAAGTAAAAACATGCTCATAAAAAGATCTATACAAGTGTTCACAGCATGAGGGCTAGACGGTGGTGCAGTGGTACAACAAGACCGTCTGCAAGGCTGATCCCAGGGGAAGGTTGCAGGTTCACATCCAAAGACCTCCCTGTATATGCTGGGCATGATGTGCCCATAATCTAGGACTGCCCGAGGCTGGGGGTAGATCACAGTGTCAGGACCTAGTTAGGGGTGCTCATTCTCACTTGTGGACAAAATAAATAAATAAATAAATGTAAAAAAAAAAAAGTTCAAGCAGCTTTATTTATAATAACTTCAAACTGGAAACAGCCTATGTGTCCATCGGCTGAAGACTGGATAAACATAAACTGTTTGTTTATACATACCATAGTATGTGGTGTGCTCATACTACGCAATTAGTAAGAAGAATGGAAAAGAAACAAACTACTGATATAGGTATGCAACATAGATGAACCTCAAAACTGACATCTAGTGAAAGCTTTACATAAAAGTGTACATACTACATGATGCCATTTATATGAAGTTCTAGAACAAGCAAAACTAATACATGTAGAAACAAATCACAACAGTGGTTGCCTCTGGAGGGCAGGGATGGCGTATAACGTTCTAGAATAAAAGAAATGGTTTGTATTTTTTTTTAAGATTTATTTATTTACTTAATTCCATTTGTTATTGTTTTTTAATTTGACCAGAGAAAGACAGAGAGAGAGAGAAAGGGAAAGCAAGCCACCAGATCCAGGAATTGAACCATCATTGGCCATGTGGGAATCCAGTGACTTTAACCACTACTCCACCTGCCAGCTCCGATGATTTGTATCTTGAAAGAGGTATCAGTTACACAGCTGTACGCATTTGTTACACATCTGTATACATTTGTCAAAATTCAGCAAATGTCGGGACCAGCAGTTGGCATAATGGCTATGTCGCTGGATTCCCATGTAGTCGATCGTGGTATGAGTCCCGACCCGTTGGCTTAAACGAGAGGAGAATGGAGGAAAAGTTTTTGCAGCATGACCTTCCCCCCTGGGGGGTGATTTATCACTTTCTATCCGCTTTTTCTCTCTCTCTGTCTTTCTGATGAGCGCATGAGCCCTATAGCAAAAACCTCTCAAAAAAAAAAAAAAACAGCAAATGTGACAATTTGTATGCTCCAATTAATTTCTGATACAAAACTTATGTCACAAGGAAAAAATGAATAAACAAAAAGTAAATTCTAGCATACAATAAGCACATAGCAGTTAGGACATTCCTATCTGCAACTGACCTTAAGATACATGTGCCAGGGGACGAGCAGTTAGCATAATGGCTAGGTCGCTGGACTCCCATGTAGTCGACTGTGGTTCGAGTCCCGGACCCGGTGGCTTAAACTCATGCCAGGCGCACAGGCGCATGTGCATGCGTGCGTGCCCAAGACCCCAAGAGGGGAATGGAGGAGAAGGGATTGTGGCATGGTCATCCGACCCCTGGGGGGTGATTTCTCGCTTTCTATCTCTCTGTCTTTCTGGAGAGCCCACGCCCCCTATAGCAAAAACCTCTCCAAAAAAAAAATTAGATACATGTGCCAAACCTCTCCAAAAAAAAAAAAAAGGATACATGTGAGAAAAAATAAGATGGACTGGGCTAGCTGGTGGCAGGCAGTGAAGGCAACTAGATCCCTCATGGCTGACCGCACAATAAATCCTGGACCCAGCAGCCTGAAATCATGCCAGATGCACATGCACGTGTGCCCGAAATCCCAAGAAGGGGATTTTGGGAGAAGAGACTGGGATGCAGTCATATCCCCTGGTGGATACTTTCTTACTCCCCTCATCCCCACCCTCCTCCTGCAAGTGTATGCACCCTCGAGCACATTTTAAAAAAGAAAAACAGATGGATTGACGGATGGATCTCTTGAGGGATAGATCAAAGAAAAGATATACAAATAAACAAATACAGTGAAATACTGATGGATTCTAGTTGTTCACTGTAAAACCACTTCACTGTGTGCGTGAACATTTTCATAAGATGACTTTGGGGAAAAACATATTTTTAGGACAAGTGAGTAAAGTTGAATAAAGACAGGTTATCAGACAACATTAGGGACTTCTTTTTTGTCCCTTTTCTTAGGTATGATAATGGTATTATGATTAAGTAGGAGAGGTTGTTTTGTTTTAAGAGAGGTTTCTGCTATAAGAGCATGTACACTTACTGGAGAGACAAAGAGACAGAAAGTGAGAAATAACCCCCAGGGTGGGGTGGCCACACCACAATCCTTTCTCTTCCATTCTCCTCTCGGGATTTTGGGCAGGCACACACACACACCTGGCGTGAGTTTTAAGCCGCCAGGTCAGAGACTCAAACCTCAGTCGATACATGGGAGTCCAGCAACATAACCATTACACCGTCTGCTGGTCCTGAGTAGGGCAGTTCCCGCCCCCCCAAGATTTTCTTTTATTTTAGAATTATTTTATTTATCTTTATTTATTTATTCTTTATTTTAATTTGACCAGAGAGGGACAAAGAGAGAAAGAGAGAGAGAGGGATGGTGGGAAAGCAAGTCATCAGGTCTGGGACTCAAACCATGGTCGGCCAGGTGAGAGTCCACTGCCCTTAACCACCACGTTACCTGCCAGCTCCTAGGGTAGTTATTTTTAAGAGAAGTATTCTCAAATATTTAGGCATGAAGTGTCATGTCTGCAATTTACTTCAGAATGGATCTGCAAGAATTTTACAGAAACAGGTGGTTGGGTAGACAGAAAAACAGGACAAATTGTTAACAACTATTGAATCTAGATGACTTCAGGTGTTCACTATCCTCTTTTTTCAACTTTTATGTTTAAAATATTTCACAATAAAAAATCTGAAGGAAAAAAATTACCTGGCTGTGAAATTTACTGGGGTCACTGCCCCCATCAAGTTGGGTACTAGATAGTAGATGAACACAAGATGAAGCTGATCGGCCTGGTCCCATCACATCAGACAGTGTAGAAAAATTGTGACAGCCTAATCATCGGGCAAGTCTTCCCTCCTAAAACCATTCCTAAAATAAAACAAAGCTGTTTTTAGACCAGTGTTCAAACAAGAGAAAAAAGTTGATAAAACACAATGTTACATTCATGTAACAATATTCTAGAGGTAGACCACAGCAACCTCATGCTAAGAGTGAATGCTTAAAAACAGGTAACATTACATCCATTTACAAAAGCAACTACACTTCTGAAACTCTCATTTTCAAAAGAACAGGGGGATACTTACTATTCTATGACAATCTCTTGGGCCCTTTTCAACCTAAATTTTAAACTGTAAGCGTCTCCAGTCAGACATTATTCCAAAAACAAGAGTTGTGCTATGGCAAACTAGCACTTTCTAGCTGGGTGGTTTTATGATCATACGATCTTAGCAAATCCTAACCACTAGTCAGAAAGCAGTGTGCTTCACTCTCTCAGGACAGAACTCTGATTCTAAGTCCGCAGCGTCAGAACTCCTAAATTTAACCCAGGACCGGCCATTAACTGGCTGAATGACCTCTAAATCTTCCACTTCTCCACCTCTTCCTCGCATACATACACGCAACACACACTCACTAGGTATAGACATGAAAGCTTTCAGTAAACGGTAAAGAGCTATAGTCTTACCATCACCTCTCCCTATTCTCCAACTCCCTTTATAGACACTTTACTATCCCTGCCTGCTCTGGTGCCTATCACACACTGTCGTCTGGTTTCGTTGCTCCCCTATTGCACAGGTATATGCCTCACCTCTCCAGCTAGACAAGGTTCCTCAAAGTCTAAGGGCCTTGCCTTGCTTGTCTATATCCCACAACACAGTGCTCTGAGTACAGAGGACAATTTAACTCAACCCTGTAGCGTTCACCTGATTTTCTGTGTACTGATTTAACTGGGCAATTTATTTTCTCACAGAAAACTACACTAAATCAAATGGGAAATTCAAGGCTAAAAAAATCCTCTAAGTTTTAATAAAGACAAGTTAGTAAATTGGATCTGCTTAAAGACAAATATATTTGTCAAGAGTACCAAGGCAGCTGTCCCAGAATCCTTCTTATTTGTAGGGCTGCAGAGGCATGATCATAAAGACAGAAGGCGGCCCAAGAGTGAGGCGACCCCAGTTAGCTTGACATCGTCACGACTGGGGGCTGGAGCGGTGGAATGTGGACTGTAGACCTGGGGCATCTGCAACCTTTTCAGGCAGTGCTTCCCTCCCCGATGTTTCTACCTGTCAAAGGCCTAGCAGTCCACTCTCCCACGGGATACCCCCC